CTGTCATCCACGTGGCTGGTCTTGTACGTAAGAGGTTATGAACAGGTGGAGCTTTCCTTACCTCTTCCCCCTCCCCCTTTTTTCCTTTTCCTTTTCCTTTTTTCTTTCCCCTTTTTTGCGCTCTGATTCACAATGTGACAATATATATATATACTCCGTGATTGAAGGGGTGGAGTCCGTGATTGAAGGAGGGCTCCACCCAATGAGATAATTGCAGAACAGCAAGCAAAATATTGAAAATCTTCTATCCAGCTTCTGTGCCTATGGTCGATCCCACCCTCTTTTGGGTTTTTGGCCATACCTCCCAACGGATTAAAAAGACTTTAGCGGGAAGCTTCCTTTGCAATCTTTTGGGGTTGGCCATACCCCCAACGGATTGAAAATCTTCCGTTGGGGTTGGCCAGCGGTATGCTCAGTGTTAAGGAGAGGAGGAGGGGAACAAAGATATCCTTGCTTTTTCGGGTATTACTTGTAAAAAAATACTGACCGTGGGATCGCTCACGAGTACTGCACGGCAGGATTTGGGTCACACTCAACTTCCACACAAAACTCTTTTCTATCCTATCCCGTTGCTAGTGGGTGGGACCATGCTCCAGTAGAGTTGATCTTCGATATCTACTTTACTGACACTATGTATTGTAAATAAATTTAATTGATTCAATTAATATAAACCGTGGCGCCAGGGTCATCTTGTTTGCCTGGGCCGCCCGGCCGGGCAAGGACCAGGGAAGGTCCCTGTGAAAAAGAAAAGAACAAAAAAGAATTCCAAAAGTCCGAAAAAAAAATTATGTTATGCAGAAAAATAAACTGAACAACTTTTGCCTCAGGGTCGGGCCGAAATTATTTTATTTTTATTTTTTTTAATTCATATATGGCCAGGCCGTGCAAGTGGTCCCGGACCAGTCTGGTAAGTTGTAACATTTTCAATTAATTAATTAATTAATTTCTCTCATTATCCATGGAACTCGGACCGTGGGTTCCCGGTCTTCCAGCGAATCAGTGAATCGGTGAATGGGATTTTGATCTTCCCCCCCCCCCCCCCCCCCCCCCCCCCCCCCCCCCACAAAAAAAAAAAGAAACTTGCAGTATCAGTGAATCGGCCCACTGCCCAAGGCAACGTACATCCGACCCCATCGGGAGCACAGAGCCCAGGGGCGAGGTCCCACTAGCAAAGAGGATAGGATTGAAGACCTGAATCTGGACGTGTTTGTGGAAAGGTGCAGAATGTCGAGATTGAACTGCGTTTCTGCATGTACGCTTAAAACACGTCCAGATTCAGGATATTTATGAAATCCCCTTTGGTAGTGGGACCTCGCTCCAGGTTATTTGTTTATCTGTTTATTTGTTTATGTTTATTTTCATGTATTTATTCATTTATTTATTTATGAAGCCATTCATTTACCATCAGGATGACTTTGGATATTTCGGGAAAAGAGGGGGGGAAAAAGAAATTAGATTTTCTTTGCTCCACCCTCTCAGGGCATACTCACACTAGGACTTTTCTTTTTTTCGATGTATCTGGACGGAAAGTTGCAACGAATACAGCTGCAGTGACCGTGCGATCTATTCGGGAAAGGGGAAAGACAGTGGGGAGCCACCCAAAGATATTGACCTCCAGTCTCACCCAGTTCGCCTTCTTTTTTTTTTTTTTAATTCACCTTTTTTTTGTGCAACAGTTCAGGGCATACTCACGCAACGTAGGACTTTCTTGGATGTATCCGACCGCATTTGCAGCCGGACTAGGATGTATCTGACCGACCGTAATGACGACCAGAGTTCATTCAGAATGCACTGAGTCATGCACTCGTAGAGTTGTTTCGATAAGAAGGTGCTAGGGGGAAAAAAGAAAAAGATAAAAAAAAGGTGCTGGTGCTGCGTCCGAGTCCCGCCCGGGGGCGAGGTGCCACCTGCAAAAAAGATTGGATTAACCGCCTGAATCTGGACGTGTATGTATGAGATGTGCAGAAAATCGATGGTGATCTTCTTTTCTGCATCTTTGCATAAAGCACGTCCAGATTCAGACGTTTAATCCAATCCTCTTTTGTTAGTGGGACTGTGCTCCCTTCGCACTGGTTAATAAACTGACGATTCACCCACCCCCTTCTATATCTATGATGATGATATTTCGATTTCTCAGTGGGCGGCAGGAATTAGGGGCAATGGTTGATGTTTGACCCATTTGCCATTTTTGATTTTTTTTTTTTTTCAGACTTTTTTTACACCAGGTCGAGAAGCTTTCCCAAATTTTAAATTTCTATATTTTCTATTGTTTCCGTTTTTTCCGGATAGAAAGGACAAAAAAAAATAAATCACATATCAGCAGGAACAGAGCATGTTCCACTATTCAGCAAATGTGCAGAATGAGAATGAATCTTCCACGAGAACATACATTTGCAAAATGAGAATGAATCTTCCACGAGAACATAGAAAAATACACCGCCATCCTTTTTGTCTTTTCTGCATGTGGATAGTAGTGGAGCGAGGCCCCATTCCTGGAACTGGTTGGAACACCAGCTCCAGGTCCGCAATGTAGGTCCTGGTCTGTAACGAGGGTTCAGGTCCAGGTTCAGGTCCGTGATGCAGGTCCAGGTGTAGGTCCAAGTTCAGGTCCCAGTCGGTAATGCAGCTCCAGGTCCAGGTACCTGATGCAGCTCCAGGCCCAAGTCCATGTCCAGGTCTGTAATGCAGGTCCAGATTCAGAGGAGAAGGGGTGGAGGGGGAAAATGGTCTGAAAAATCTTATCCTTTCAAGATATTGCGTGAGAGATTCAAGGTGTGAAAACGGAATGAAACGAAAATAACAGGGTTGTAAAAAACACAACTGTCCCCCAGCTGAGGAGAAGACCTGTCTCTTATACACATCTAGATGTGTATAAGAGACAGGGTTAAAATGG